GAGGGAATGGCCTCAAGCTGCCCAGGGCAGGGTCAGGCTGGCTCTGAGGAAGGATTTCTGTGCAGAAGGGGCTGTTGGGCGTTGGAATGGGCTGCCCAGGGCAGGGGGGAGTCCCCGGGATCCCTGGAGGGGTTGAAGAGTCGGGCTGAGCCAGCGCTGAGGGATCTGGGGGAGTTGGGAACGGTCAGGGGGAGGGTCATGGTTGGGCTGGAGGAGCTGCGAGGGCTTTTCCAACCGGGATGATTCTGGGATTCTGTGAGCCCAGAGCTGCGTATCACAGCCGGGCTGGCTGGCACATGCTGTTTTAATATTTGGGTGATGTCATCGAGCGCTCTATAATGCCGTAAAAAAACCAGAGCGTCTATAAACCTGACCAGTGAACCTCCAGCAGAACACACACGCGCAGGGGAGTGCACACAGATACACGTACGTGGACACACGCACACAGATACACACACACGTGCATGCACAGGGATGTGCACACACACACATATGTACATGCAGGGAGACACACGCCTGCACACATGCAGGAACATGGCTGCACATGTGTACGCACACGTGTACACACACACGTGCATGTGCGATGTGCGAACGGATGCGCCTGTGGATGCACGTGCAGACTGATGGACGTGAGGATGGGGACACGCACACACACAAACACACAGAGAGGTGCACACACGTGGCTACACACACGCACACACACGCTCAGCTGCATGCACACGGATACCCAGAGATGCACACACCCCCCCACGCCAACACGTGGATACGCCCCGTGATGCAGGAGCACACGTTGCTCACAGGGGCGCATCAGTTGATAGACACACAAATGCACACACACACATTTCACACAATCACAGAATCACCTTGGTTGGAGAAGCCCTTGCAGCTCCTCCAGCCCAACCATGACCCTCCCCCTGACCGTTCCCAACTCCCCCAGATCCCTCAGCGCTGGCTCAGCCCGACTCTTCAACCCCTCCAGGGATCCCGGGGACTCCCCCCTGCCCTGGGCAGCCCATTCCAACGCCCAACAGCCCCTTCTGCACAGAAATCCTTCCTCAGAGCCAGCCTGACCCTGCCCTGGGCAGCTTGAGGCCATTCCCTCGGGGCCTGGCGCTGGGGCCTTGGCTCCAGAGACTCATCCCCCCTCTCTGCCCCCTCCTGGCAGGGAGTTGCCGAGGGCCAGGAGGTCTCCCCTCAGCCTCCTCTTCTCCAGACTGAACCCCCCCAGTTCCCCCAGCCGCTCCCCAGCAGACCTGTGCTCCAGACCCTGCCCCAGCTCCGTTG